GTTGTGATCGTCCTTGTCTCACGTGGGCCCTGCTGCCTGCCTTTTCCTTCCCACGGACTCACCCTCTGGGACCAGGGAGCCACAGGGAAACAGGCCTGGGTGGGAAAGCAGTCTGCTCACAGGCCGTACCCAGGCCCTGGGCCTTGTCAGCTTCCCCACTCGCCATATGCCCCCACAGTGCTGGCAGTCAGAGTCCCCCCAAGTCCGTATGGAGCCATGGACGGAGGAGGCCTTCCCAGGTGCTGGGAGGCCAGATGGATGCTAGAGGTGCCCAGCTTAGGGAGGGCCTCTCTCTCCCTCACCTTCTCGCCCTCCCTGGGAGTCCCCACCCGTGCTGGATGCAGTGTCCCCTCAGGCCTCTGCTCCCCTGTCCGGGATGAAGCCTGCAGAGGCAGGTCCTAGGGTACGAGCTGCAAGGAGATGGCTGGGGAGGATTCTCCAGACCAGGGCCTGGCCTCCTGGGTGTGCGCTCCCTTCCTCACTGAACCCCCACGCCCCTCATGCCTCACTGCCTACCCTCCCCCACCACATTCTGGGTCCTAAGAATGGGGGCAGTTCAAGCCACGGCGGCATCTTCATCACGAGCACGTCTGAGCGATGCCCCACATGCGTGCCTGGTGCCAGGCACCGGAGTCCCTTCCACCGGCAGGTCATGGGCACCACGCTGTGCCAGCCCAGGAGCCCTCCACCAGCAGAGACAGACACAGCGAGCAGAACGCGCTCTGTGCCTCCCCGTCCGGCCCCTCATGTCTGTGAGCTGCCCCATCCCCGGTGCCCATTGCCTGCAGGTGGCCCAGCACCGCCCGCCCGTAGCCCGTCTCTCCCTGTGGCAGCTCACACCTGAGCCAAACCGGTTGGAGTGGGTTGTGCTGAAATTTTTGTTTGTGTCAATGGGACTTGGAAGTGAGTCAGGCAGGGCCAGGGATGGGCGGGGCGGGTGGGAGAGGGAAGAGTGAGAGTGAGGGTCAGACTGAGTGGGCGGCGGGAGGCAGGCGCCAGGGGCTGGGAGGAGGGTTGGGGGCAGAGGAGAGTTTGTCTGTGGTGAGATCCCAGGTCAGAGGGCGTCAGAGGCGGGAGGACACTGGCTCTGGGAGAGATGGGGGGGGCGGTAAGACGTCCGAGGGGAGCCAGCTGCGTGGTGTGGGCCCGGGTCTGCGCCGCCCGCCCGTTTCTGCCCCCCTCTGCTTCTCCGCTGTTGTTTCCCTTTCTCGTCGGCTCATTGCCTTGGTCTCTACACTTTGTACAGAAAGGTGTTGGGGTGCTGCTACTGTGGTGGGAGATGAGGGATGTAGGACTGGCTTCCATCCCCCAGGCCACCCCTCTCGCTCCTCCCTAGGACGGTCCTCGCCCGTGGAGGGTGAGGAGGGACCCTGCACAGAACACTGGGTCTCTAGCCCCATCTCCGCCCGGAAACACCGCTCCCCTTCGCCGCAGCGTCGCTGCCCGGGTTAGGATCGTCCTGTTTTCCACGGATTCCGTCTCCCTTGGCCATGCGCTGTGCTGCTCCCGCCAGCCTGTCCCACAGGCCCATGGCCCATCCCTTCATGACAACCACACCTCCTGGTCGCCCAAGGCATCCCTCAGAGCTCAGGGGGCGGGATCCTACCCCGAACGAAGCGGGAGAACCACGGGGGTAGGAGGTGGCTGAGCGTCATGCACGTTTGGTCCTGCTTCTCGGTGGCTGCTGTGTGCGGAGCCCCCATGTCACTCTCAGCCGTGCACCCCCACCTGTCGGGAAGCAGGGCCGAGGCTGAGACAGATGTCGAGAGTCTTTGTCCTGTGCCTCTGGGTGAGCTGGCACTTTTAGAAGGTTCTGGAAATAGGAGAAACAGGTCCTGGACAAGAGGAGGAGCCTCGTGGAATCGAGTCTTCCACATGGTGACAGCAACAGCCCCCCATCCCCCTGTGAGGAGAAGGTAAGAGCAAAGGTGGGGTCGGGTCCTGTGAATTTGCTGACAGTGGATTCTGTGAGTGGCCCCAAGCTGTGCTCCCCTGCGCCCCATCTCCATCCAGCCACACATCTGCCAGGCTCCTCCCAGGGAGGCCATCTGCTGGGCGCATGGGCGCAGCCTGCCACCCCGGGGCCATCTCCAGGCAGCAACAGGCCTCTAGCTTCTCGGCTGGGTGCCACGGGGCGGCTCCTTCCTGGCCATCAGGCTCGCTCTGGCCACCACCCGCCTGGCCTCCCACGATGAAGCGTCAGCCCAGCCCCAGCGCAGCTGCCGGCAGCAAATGAGACCCCGAGCAAGAAAGAGCCAGCACCAGGGCTGTGAGAGCCTGGAGGGCGGGAGCCAGGGCAAGCGGGGAGACCGGGGAGACCAGACCACAGAGGACACAGGGGAGGTGGCTTTTGGAGGAACTGAGGGTTCCTATCATTTGAGGGCAGATTTTCTTTTGAATTTACTGTCAGCCTCCCCTCATCTTTGTGAACCCCAATTCCCTCTCTCTCCCCACCAGCACCCACAGTCCCAGCCCTGAGCTCCCCCTCAGGCTCAGCAGGCAGGGCAGCGGCCTGGCCAGAGGCCCTCGTCCAGGGCACGAGGCTCGCTCCCTGGCGGCCCTGGAAAGCTGGGGCCAGGTCTTCTGGTTCCTGGACACCCCAAGGCCCCACGGCAGCAGGACTGGCTCTCGGCCTCGGAGACTTGGACCCTGACCTGCACCGGCTTTCAGTCCCAGAGGCGAGGCTGGGAGCCTTTGAGCTGCGGTGCAGCTGCGTGTCGGGCCTGTGGGAGCAGCAGGGGAGGGAACCAAGAAGACACCCCCCAGATGTGCATCACGCCTTCTCACGGGAGCCCCTGGGAACCTCCCTCCAGGCTCGCCCTAAAGACTGCTGGGCCCCCCGGCTCCTCCGCAGCTCTAGAGGGGCATAAGGTCTGAGATCAAGAGATTTCCACGGGGCAATCAGCATGGCCGGAGAGACTGGCCAGAGGTTAAGGAAAGGGCAGAGGGACAAAGGGGCGGCCCTCTCCCCTTGCCAGCTGCTCCCTCCCAGGCCCAGGCCTCCACGCTCTCTTCTGTGGGGGGATCCCACTCCCTGAAAAGACCCCGAACATGGAAGCTCAGGTCTTCATCAGTTATCAAGACCCTGCACCCGGCGGGCCGGCGGCTCAGTGGTTGAATGTCGACCTATGAACCAGGAGGTCACGGTTAGATTCCCAATCCGGGCACATGCCCAGGTTGTAGGCTTGATCCTGGGCAGGTGGGGGGGGGGGGCCCTGCAGGAGGCAGCTGATCCATGATTCTCTCTCATCATTGACGTTTCTGTCTTTCTCTCCCTTCCTTTCTCTGAAATTAAAAAAAAAAAATGACCCCATGCCTGTCTCAGGGCCACACACTGGTCCAGTTCGAAGCGCAGCCGAGGGAAGAAGTGCGTCCGCTCCTGGGAAGTTCCAAAGCTCTCGGCAGGGAGGTCGGAGGGTTGGTTCTGTTTAGCATCACAGAGAGAGAACAGGGCAGACCCAGAGAGAGAAACACAGAGGTGGAAGTGGTAAAAGACAGATCTCAGGCACAGTGAGGCGGGGGAGCCTAGAGACCGAGAGACTCAGAGAGATGCACACACGCAGCAGCATCCGAAAGCCGTCGTTCAAAGAGACACAGCAGCCAAGACAAGATAAAAACGAAGAGAGAAAGACGTCAGGGGGGTTTCCGGGTGTCTACCTGCCCACTGCTGGGGTCACTCAGGTACTTCCTCTTCTGCCCTCAAGTTTTTATGTTTTTAAAAATACATTTTTAAATTGATTTCAGAGAAGAAGAGAAAGTTAGAAAAGTCAATGATGAGATAATCATTGATCCGCTGCCTCCTGCATGCCCCACTCTGAGGATCGAGCCTACAACTCAGGCATGTGCTCTGACCAGGAATTGCACCTTGACCTCCTGGTTCATGGGTCAATGCTCAACTACTGAGCCACGCCAGCCAGGTTCTGCCCTCAATTTTGACCACTCAACAGTGACCCAATGATACTTTCTTACTCAAGAACACCAAGTCCCTCAAAAATTCAAGTTCTCTCCCATCCTCATCCCATCTCACCACCATTTTCTAACGCACCCGATTCCTCTCCCGCAAGTCCGCTCTTCCAGCACATGTCAGAGGAGTGTCCAACATCTGGCCCTTGCTGTCATTCCTCTGTCCTGTTTGTCCACATCCTTATTCTGGCTGAGCTGAGAGTGGAGGCTAAGGCATGGGGCCAGGTGTCGGCTGGCCAGAATGAGCTGTGGGGGGGACGTAGAAGGGTCCAGAACAGCAGAGGAAGACCCACAGAAAGGGCAGGAAAGGTGGGGGAGCCGGGGAGACAAAGGCAGAGAGGATTTTGGAATCTCCAGAGTGTGACTGAGACCCGCGGGCCCCATTGTCGGCTGTGTGAACTGAACGGTGCTGAGAACCAGGGATGGGTCCGTCACAAAATGGGGTTAAGGCAAGAAGAAGCCAGACTGAGCGTTTTGTGAAGGTTTGAGACCAGGAGGCATAGATTTGGGCGTGGACAGACCCAGACTACGTCTGAGAAGCTGGGCTGCAGGGAGCCCTGCTGCCAAAAAAGGTCAGTTTATATAGGGTCACGTCAGGGTTAGATTTTTAGGGTGACCTGCCCACCCCCACGCCTGGGTATCATTAGCAGGGAAAGCAGGACCGGAGCAGGAGGAGCCTCGCTGCCCCTCTCTCAGTCCCACAGCCTTTCTCAATGCTCTTCGGTTTGTCTCACTGACAGGACCTTAGAGAAGCTGCCCTGGGGTGCAAAGGACGTGACACACACATCCAGGCTGGCCTGTTTCTTTTCTTTTCTTTTTCTTTTTTTCTTTTTTTTCAGACAGGAAGGAAGAGAGAGATAGAAACATCAATGATGAGAATCATTGATCGGCTGCCTCCTGCACACCCCCCAATGGGAATCGAGCCTGCAATCCGGGCATGTGCCCTGCCCAGGAATCCAACCATGACCTCCTGGTTCATAGGTCGATGCTCAACCACTGAGCCATGCAGGCTGGGCCAGATTGGCTTGTTTCCCTTCTCCTTTTTTTCTTGGTCTTTTTTTTTTTTTTTACCTGGATTTTTCCCTGCCTCCTCTACTAGTAAAATATGAGCTCGGTTTCAGACTAACCAGGGAAGGAGCTGCAATGGCTGGATGACACCTCAAAGGAGGTGCAAAACCCAGGAGTGAGTGAGGTTTGGGCTCCTGGTCCACGTGAGAGGCCAGCTGTGCAGACTCAGAGAGAGGGACCTGGGAGAAGAGTGCAGGACCCCTTGGGTGGGGGAGTCCCCGTTCTGTCCAGGAGAGGCAGGAAGTGAGTCTGGCAGAAAGAACAGCCAAAGATTTAAGCCAAAGCAAGAGCCCCAAACGGGCATTATAAGCCCATAAAATTTAAGCCAAATGACTCCTCCTCCAAGCAGCTCCTCCCCTAAATCCTAGGACTGGGACAGAGCTGAAGCCAGCTGTTGGAAGCTTACCCAATCACAAGCCTTAGGGAAAGACTGGCTTTTAGACTTTAGCCAGGACATTAGAAGTTAGGAATTTATTAGAGGCTTTAACATGAACTGGGAAAACAGGATCCTCCGTATCAGAATCAGGGAAAGCAATAGTTGGGTGGGCAGAGACTTTCAAAGCTCTTATTGTGTCTCAGCTTTAAGGTATGCGTGGGGAAGGGGTCCCTGGAACCCCCAGGCTCTCCAGCTGCGCCTTCCTGACCATACCTGCCCCCTCACTGCCCCTGATGGAGAGCAGGAGGGGCAAAGCCCTGCGGTGCTGCCAGACCCCAGGGCAGCCCTGACCATGGCCTATGGATGGAAGTCCCGCTGCTGTGCAGAACCCCGACACGGCCTGCTGCTCCCACCCAGCTGTGTCCGAGTACAAATCTGCCTGCATTTCCTGCTGTGGCTGAAACTAGTTTCTGTCCGTTCTCCCCTGGGTCCTGGGGGGCGGGTGAGAAGCCGCTGGGGATCTGCCTGAATAAAAAGGAGACACCACGGAGGGCAGCAGTGTTCCCTCGAACCGCCCTTCGCCCCCATCCGGCTCCCAAGTCCGGGCAGCTCTGCCTGGATCGCATCAGGAGGAGCCCCTGCCCTTACCTAGGCCGATGCCCGCCCCCGCGTCCTTGCGTGGCAGTGACCTGGTCTCCAAGCCCGCGGGGACCGCAATCCTCAGACGGGGTCTGCTGCCC